GGTAGTGGAAGATGGGTGGGTCCAGGCTAGCCTGTGTGTTACCCGACCCCTCACCACCCTGCAGAGATGTTCTTAACCCTTCAGGGCCGCAGACTGGGCTCTGGTGCCTTGTCTGAAGTAGCTTGTCCTTCCCTGAGCCATCTCTCCAACCTTTTTTGTTTCTTTTCTTTTTGAGCCAGTCTGTAGCCCAGCCTCTGTCCTCAGGCTGGCCTCGAACTCCTGGTCCTACTGCCTCCATCTCCCTCATGCTGGAATCACAAACGTGTGCCACCATCCCCAGCTTATTCACTTATTTTAGAGACAGGTCTCAATATGTGGCCCAGACTGGTCTTGAATTTGAGGTCCTCTGAGTTTTGAGGTTACAGGCATGTGCCACCATGTCCAACACCATGCCTTCAATGTCACCCAAGCAGAGTCTTTCTGGGCCTTTGGCTGCTTTGCGCTTTGTTCATGTGGGATATGAGGACTTTAACTGTGTTGGGAGCTGTTATTTTGGGGATGTCCTTGATAGTGAGAAGAGTGTACCCAAATCCCATTCCAGTTGCTGGAGACTTGGTGAAAACTAGATTGTGGGGACTCAAGATGTTGTGTCTCCTGATCATTTGCTCAGGTCTGTGACGAGCCCCACCCCCTGCTGGTGAAGGAGATGATCCAGCACTGTGTGGACGCCAACATCGATGAGGCCTATAAGGTGGGCCTCCTCCTCCTTCCCCTTGTCTCCATGGCGCCTTGAGTCTCTTCAGTCAGGTGGCAGAGCCCGTGAAGACTCCCCTAACCCTTAGTCACTGAGCTTCAGGTAGACTTTCCCTGCTTTGCTGATCACTCCGCCAGAACCAGACAGAAGTAGCTCCACAGAGGTCCTCAATAAAGAGACCAGCATGGCCGGAAGGCACGTGAGCTCGTGGTGGTGGGAGCATGTGGCTTTACTTTTTTTAAATATGCATGAGTATTTTGCCTTCATTTTGTCCTTGGAGTCCAAAAGAGGGCATCCAGTCCCCAAGATTGGAGTTAGAGTTGTGAGCTGTCGTGTGGGTGCTAGGAATTAAACTGGGGTCCCAAAAGAGCAGCAGTGCTCTTTTTTTTTTTTTTTGGTTTTTCGAGACAGGGTTTCTCTGTATAGCCCTGGCTGTCCTGGAACTCACTCTGTAGACCAGGCTGGCCTCGAACTCAGAAATCCGCCTGCCTCTGCCTCCCAAGTGCTGGGATTAAAGGCGTGCGCCACCACCGCCCGGCTAGCAGCAGTGCTCTTAACCACTGAGCCACCTCTCCAGCCCCCACGAGCTGCCTCACGTCCTGATGGATCAGGAAGCAGGTACCTGCTGCCCAGCTATAGAGGCTCCACCTCCTAAATGCACAACCTCCCAGAACAGCGCCACCAGCAGGGCTCCAAGTGGTATTTCACACTCAAGCCATGAAACTGATTCATAGAGGCTGATTCCTTGCCCCAAGCAACAGTGTAAAGCAGTACCTGGAAGTCAGCATCGTGACCTACTGGAGTTATATCCTCCACAGGAGGACTCTCAGCCTGAGACACTGAAAGAGCAGCCAGCACCTCCAGTGATGGCACATTGTCCTGGGTAGGGGACCATGTCACATCCTGAGAATCATGTTGAGGGCCAACCAGGAACCTAGCAGTTATCTGTTACCTGGAAGAGGAGGGATGAGGAAGGGGGTTTAGTGTGGCTGAAGGGAGGGCCTGGTTCTCTGAGCAGATGCCAGTGAGTGTGGATGACTTCAAATCTGTAAGTGTCAGGGATATGAGTGGAGACCCCGAGTTTCCCATCAGTCAACTAGGGAGACTGACTGGAGTCAGGGCAGGGTTGGACTTATTGACAACTGGGGTAGCAGGCAGGGAGACTGGGGATAAGCTGGAGACTGGTTACTGAAGGAGGGACACGGCTAACCCTAATGGCTGACACTAGCCCTCCATCCGTGTCCAACCCTAACACTACTAGAACCCATCCCAAAGTGCTGAGTCTCAGTGAGTCCTCTCTAGACACAGGCCCAGGCCAGGGAACGTGGACAGGAAGGGAGGAAAGCGAGGACTAATGAAATCCTGCCCTGCTTAGGTTGTCCGGTCCCGTCATGCAGGGGCCTCGTTCCGACTGAGCCTGGGAGAGCTAGCTGGTGAGGAATTCTACCTGGAAGGCTCTGGTTAGAGTTGATGCAGGCAAGATATCAGACCCATCTTACCTGTAGTCAGTGGGGCCTGCTGGGCTCAGGAAGGGTTTAGTGTGGCTGAAGGGAGAACCTGGTTCTCAGTAAGAGGGCTGAGTGACCCAACCTAACACCTCTTAAGGTTCAGATGATCCTCAGAGCCTCGTGGGTCACCTGAGCCAAACCATTACCCACGGGTGATAGGCCAGGCTTGCCATAGGCCCGCCTCCGTCTCCCTGTCCCTGAAGCTCACAGTGTTGAGCCTGCTGGGTCTTCTCTCTAGATTCTTGCTCACCTGTGGCACCTGGGCTACTCACCGGAGGATGTCATCGGCAATATTTTCCGAGTGTGTAAAACCTTCCCGATGGCTGAATACTTGAAACTGGAGTTCATCAAGGTTAGTCAGAGCTCAGGAACACCTTTTGTATGTTCACTTTTTGAGTCTGGTGGCTTCTTGCTTTGTGTTGTTGTTGTTGTAGTTATTTGTTGTGGGAGATATTTAAAAACAGTGGCTCCCAATCTTGCTTGTTCTTAATCAGCCATCATGTTTCCAACTAGCCTAGGCCTGTGGCCACGAGCAGAGGCCACTGCGGCCCTGCCACCCACGAGACATCAGCGTGGGAGATGGCTCTGTCTGTCTTCCACGCTGTCTCCGCAAGGCTGGGCATAGCCCAGACCATCCCGCCATCCACATGGGCCTGGTAGGAAAATGAGACTCTAATGCTTAAACATTCGAGTCAAAGAGTTAATCAAACAAATATGTTTAGTGATGATCAGTAATAAGATGCCCACACAATCAGAGGTGTAACCTAATACCCAACCCAGATATACCAACTACCTTTGACTGGCGGAGACATGTGAACATCCGCCTCCATGTTTCCTCTCTGGTCTCTCTCTCCTAGCTGTCCTCCTCTTCTTCCTCCTCTTCCTCCTCCTCCTCCTCTTCCTCCTCTTCCTCCTCCTCCCTCTTTTTTTCCTTACTCTTCCACCTTAGCTCCTCCTACAGTTGGTTATAGTTGGGGTCCCACAGTATGGCCTAAGCTGGGGCTTAAGGGCATATGCCACCACACTGCCTTGTGCTGGCTTCTCACTGCATAGTGCCTTCCAGATCTGCTGTGATGTGTGCCTGTGCCTTGACCCTTATCACTGAGCAGTATTCTGTGTAGCTGTCACCGTCACTTCTTTTCCAGGAAGGGCGTTGGGGTTTCTGTGGCTAAGGCCACTGCACAAGCACACATGGGCCCTCACACCTCCCAGTCAAGGTCTTGTTCTACTCGGGTTGGTTCCCAGGCAGAAGACCACTGACTCTGGCATGTGTACGCTGAACTTTTTAAGAATTGAGCTGGGCTGGCCTTGTTGGGAGAGTGCATGGCCTGAATGTGCAGAGCCCTGTGCTTGAGCCGCAGCACTGCGTAAGCTGGTGCTGCTAGGTGTGGGGGGAACTGTCAACGCTGCACACAGAGACCTTAAAACAGCAACGGCAGAAATAACTGGGTGTCCTTTTGCCCAGTTCAAACCCTGGAGGCAGAAGAGTCAGAAGCTCAAGGCTACCCTCAACCATGTAGGGAGTTTGAGACCAGCCTGGGCAGTGAGACCCTAGCAGACTGGGCCTGTAGCTCAGTGCTGGAAGGTTTGCTTCTCAAGCTTGGAACACACTTTTACAGTGTGAGCTGAACTTAAATGCAGCCAAATCTGGCCTGTTACCATGCCGCATTCTGAGGTCCTCGTGTCTGTTTTGAACCAACCACGAGTTAACTGGGACGGAACTAGTCCCACTTACCCACCTGCTGCTCTCGGCTTGTCTTTCAGGAGATCGGATATACTCACATGAAAGTGGCAGAAGGAGTGAACTCCCTGCTGCAGATGGCTGGGCTCCTGGCCAGGCTGTGTCAGAAGACCATGGCTCCGGCGGCCAGTTGACTTGAGATGTCCTCCACCGGTGGAACCAGGAGAGTCCTTGTCGCTGAGACACTGATGTTCCGGCTTGCTTTCCAGTTGTGAGGGATGTACCTCAGCCTTTGCTACAACATGCTCACTTGTTTTTGTTCTGTGAGAACAGGGTCTCTCGTAGCCCAGGCTAACCTTGAACTCCTGATCCTCCCGCCTCTGCCGAGTAACAGGGTTACAGGTGTGTGTCATGTTTGCTTTCTACGTACTACGAACCCAGGGCTTGTGCGTGTCAGACAAGCACTCTGCCAGCTGGGCTACAGCGAGACACCTAGCTCTGGAAGATTTCCACATGGCTACCTGTACCCCTCTGCTCTTCAGTGTGTGAATTTGGCCTCAGGCCCTGGACATGGGGCATGGTGGAAAGCTCTGACCTCAGTCTTGTAGCTGATTAAAGCCTTTGGATTTTTGTCTTGCAGTGCTTAATGCTTGAGGCCTTGGGGGAAACCAGCATCTTGCTCCTGCCTGTTGTACCCCAATAGTAGAAAGGGTACCCCGGGGCCAGCAAGAGTGCAGTGGTCTGGCCACACACCTGCCATGAGTTCCACCCCCAGAACCCACAAGAAGGTGGAAGAGAACTGACTCCATAACATTCTCTGGGGAGCTGGTGTAGTGTAGCACGCCTTTAATTCCAGCATTCAGAGGAAGAAGCTGGTGACCTCTGAGTTCAAGGCTGGCTAGTCTACAGAGTGAGTTCCTAGAGAGGCCCGTCTCAGAACAAACTAAAAAGATGTCTTCTGGGTCTTGTACACATGCACAGATAATAAGTAAAATTATAAAAATCTTTTTTAAAGATTTATTTCATGTATGTGGGTACATACATGGATCCATTGGATCCTCATTACAGATGGTTGCGAGCCACCATGTGGTTGCTGGGAATTGAACTCAGGATCTCTGGAAGAGCAGTCTGTGCTCTTAACTGCTGAGCCATCTCTCCAGCCCATAAAAATCTTTAATTAAAAGTTAAAGAAATTAAACCAGGCACAGTAGCACACACCATAACTTTTTACAGTGATTGATTTATTTAATGTGTATGAGTGATTTTTTTATTTTATGTGTGGGTGTTTTGCCTGCATGTGTGCCTGCTCACTGCACACACACAGTGCCTAAGACCAAAAGAGAGCATTGGGTCCCTTGGAATGGGAGTTACAGGTAGTTGTGAGCCTCCATGGAGGTGCTGGGAATTGAACCTGGGTCCTCTGCAAGAGCAGACAGAACTGCTTAGCCATCTCCTCAGTTCTGAGAACCCATAATGCCAAGCACTCAGAGGCTAAGTTCAAAGCTAGCCCCTGCTATGGGGAATCTAGGACAGCCTGGGAAGTGTGAGCGAGACCATCCCATGTGTTGTAGAACAGTTGGGTTCTAGGTGTTCTAATATAATAACTTAGAGCATTCATTTCTCCTCAGAATGAATTTGTGTCCAAGGAAAGGGGATGGCTATACAGTGCACAGCCCATTCCTCTCTGGACCTCAGGGTCATTTCTACTAAGAATCTTAAACCAGGCAGTGGAGGTACACACCTTTAATCCTAGCTCTCAGGAGGCAGAGGCAAGCAGAGCTCTGAGTTTGAGGCCAGCATGGTCTGCAGAGTTGAGTTCCAGGACAGCTAGAGCTGACACAGAGAACTCTCGAAAAACAAGAACAAACACCTTCCTCTCCATTTCCAGAAAGGGTCTTTACCAGAGCCAGCTGTGGAGGCACAGGCCTGTAACCCCAACAGCTGGGGTGCCGAGGCAAAGGGGTGCCATGGGTTCAGTGCCAGCTGCCTGGGTTACAGTGAGACTAACAGATGGTTCAGCTGGTGAAGGCACTTGTCTTCCAAGCCTGCCAACCCGAGCCTCATCCCTGGAGCCCTCATGAGGGCAGAAGAACCAGCTCCACGGAGCTGTCCTCTGACCTCTAGCCATGCTTATGTGTGTGGTCGCATGCGTGTGTGCACACATATACAAATAAAGGTGGGAGGTGGGTAAAATGCTATGTAACCTCTACCTGAGTTTGGATTCCCCAAAAACCCAAGTAACAAGCCAGGCACAGGCATAGATGCCTGTGATCCTAGCGCTGGCAAGTCAGAGCCAGGATCCCTGGGGCTCGCCTGGCCAGCAGGGCTGTCCAATCGGCAGGCTTACAAGCTCAGGGACAGACACTTGTTCAGAAAGTGGGAGAGATGAGATGGCTCAGCAGTTGGGCTTGAACTGTTCTTACAGAGGAGCCTAGTTGGGTTCCTAGCACTCCCATGGGGCAGCCAACAAGGGCCTGCATTTCAAGTGTCCCAGTGTCTCCAGAACTCTGCAGGCACCCACACGTGGAATATACTCAGACACGGTTTTTAAACTGAAGGCCAGGTGTGGTGGCGCTTTTCATCCCCGTATGCAGGAAGCAGACAGATCTTGTTAGGGCCAGCCTGGTTTGTAAAGCAAGTTTCAGGCTAGCCAGACAGGGGCTGCTCATTCCGCCCTATGAACACACACAGGAAGAGGTGTTTAAGCAAAGGCATGTGTCTGCTCTTACACTCACAGGGTTTATTGAGGTTTGGTGAGGGGACAGTTTTATTTCCCTATCACCAACCCGCAAGGTCCCCGCAGGAATGGAGGACCAGAACAAACTGGAGCCCACTAAGAAACCAAGGCGATCTCAGTGACCCCACACCCCACTTATCTGCTAATGTCAGTACGTGTAATGCTCTGAGAGGGACAAGACACGGACAGGATTAAATACTGCTCCAGCAACTTAACCACAGGAAAAGTAACAGTCCCAGAAGTCAACATTCATAAGTGATTTGAGGTCCAAACAAGGAAAGGGGGAAAAAAAAACCCTACAAGGTCAGGTGGTTGATCGCAACACAAGGGCTGAGGCAGGAGGATTGCAAGTTTGAGATCATCAGTCCGAGCAACTTAGATCCTGCAGCCAAAACAAATAAAAAACCCCACAGACACCAACGCTGTGCTTCATTTTAGGTGTGGATTGGGGACACACCTTGCCCCGGGTCCTGGGCTCCCAGTCAGCACAGTCAGTGTCCCCGGCACGGGCCTTGCCCCCAAGAAGTCAGGGCATCACTTGAGGGTTTCGGCTCTGGCGATTCCCAGTGTCTCGCAGGCTGTGTGTCAGGCAGTTCTGGCGCCCCTCCCAGGAGCAGCCACAGCCAGGGTGTGAAACTTGAGCAACCCTGGAGGACATTCTTTATTCAGCAGGCAGGAAACCTTCAACTCACGATCCTCAGCCCCTTCAACAGAGAGGAGAGTTATGAGGGAAAGGCTGGGCTTGGAGAGATGGCTTGGTTGGTGAAATATTTGCTACACAAGTGTGAGGGCCTGAGTTCAGTTTCCAGAGCCCACCTAAAAAGACGGGTGTGGGGCTGGAGAGATGGCTCAGCGGTTTAGAGCACTGACTGCTCTGCCAGAGGTCCTGAGTTCAATTTCCAGCAACCACACGGTGGCTCACAACCATCTGTAATGGGAACCGATGCCCTCGTCTGGTGTAGCTGAGACAGCTACAGTGTACTCACATACATAAAATAAATAAATAAATCTTAAAAAAAAAAAAAGACAGATGTGGTGCACGCCTATAATCTCAACACTCCATAGGTAGAGACAGGAGGATCACTGTGAGTTCAGGGCCAGTGTGGTCTATATATCAAGTCCCAGGCCAGGCAGACTACACAGTGAGAACCTGTCTCAACAAAAGAGAAAGCTTGCCCTTGTCAGGTGTGGCGGCACACACCTGCAATCCCAGCATTCCACAGGGGAAGGCAGGAGGCACCGCAGGGACCCAGACCCAGATTCATTGTCCTTCTCATGTCATTCAAGAACTCCAGTGCTGGCTCTGGCTAGCTGGCCATCAACCTCTTCCATGCTCTGCCACCTCCCAGCTGCTCTTCTGGGATGCTCTTCCCGGAAGTCCCAGAAGAAGAGAGAGCCTTTGTCTTCTTTAAATTTCAAAGCCCTGTCACTTCTATCCCAAGTCACAACCCTTTCCCCCTGTCTGTTTATCACCAGGGAACATATTATAGTTTTGGTTTGGGGAATTTCTTGAAACAGAGTCTGTCTGGCCTAGAACCCAATAGATCTGCCTGCCTCTGCCTCCCAAGTGCTGGGATTAAAGGTGTGTGCCACCGTGTCTGGTATATTGAAATTTCTCATGTGTTTTATTATTTATCTGATTCCTTTGTTTTCATTTCTTCCTGCCTTTCCTTCCTTCCATCTGTTCCCTCTAGTGCGTACATGCTCGTGCTCATGTGTGTACGCGTGTGTGTGTGTGTGTGTACATGGGTGGATGTGTGTGTGTTATGTGCACCCATGTGTGCGGGTGTATGTCCACGTGCAGGTCAGAAGTCAACCTTGAATATCTTCTTCTATCATTGGGCCCTGGAGCTCACTGTTCCTGTCAGGCTGGCTCAGCAGTGAGTCCTGAGACCCACCTCCCCGGCACCAGGTTACAGATGTGTGCCAGGGATCTGAATTCATCTGGGCTTACCCCGAGGGACCTCTCAAGCTCTGCTTCTATCATTTCCGAACAGATCTCTGGCTTCAAACTCATGTAGCCCAGGCTGTTTCGGAACTCCTGATCCTCCTGCCTCCACCTCCTAAGTGCCTAGAAGCTCAGTGCTGAGACTGCTTCCAGGCACTTTAGGAGGCAGAGTCACGTGTCACCGCACCTGGCTCCTTCATTTTATGTTTTAAATTTTGTGTTGTGTTTTCAGTGCTGAAGATGGAACCCAGGACTTAGTGCATACCTGCCATCACTACTGCTGAACCATGCCTCCATCCCCTGTTGGTAGATTGTAAGACAAGTGCTGAGACCTCTCTGCTAGACGCCTCCAGCACCCTGCACCACGTGTATGCTTCTACCTGTCACCGGGATGGGCTTACCTCTTCCGAAGTGGACCAGGTGAACTTCAGTAAGCCTCTCCTTTCTGGTTCTAATAGACTGATAAGCACCCACGGGGCTAGCCCTCACTCCGTCCATCAGTCCACTGTGGCTCCTCCCTTGAGCACAGGGCTCGCTCCCCCTCCCCCCCTTACTCTGAGCAGCTAGAGGGTAACACTGTACCTTCCTTCAGATTCTCGCCTAGATTTTCTCGGCTGCAGCCACATCCCCATTCACGTAATCTGGCTCCTCGTCTGGGCTTCCTGATAGGGACCTTTGTGCACCTGTGGATCAGGACAGGTAGTTGTTGGGACCGCTCCCAGGTGTACATCAATGCCGGTCCCCAGCCAGGATTTCTCAGGATTCCAGACCCCACAAATGACACAGAGCAAGTGTCATACTGTGTAGGATTCTTGGTGTCTGCGGATTGCTGTTTTTTGTTGTTTGTTTTTTGGGGTTTTTTTTTTTGAGGGGGAGGGGGGTTATTGTTGGGTTTTTTTCCCCAGAAATCTTCCTGCTCTAAGACAGGGTGACCAAGCTCTGCAGATCAAGCTGCTGGCCAGGGGCGTTCTGGCAGAGAGCAAGACTTCTGCAGCCTGGGCTACAATGAAGGCTGTGAAGTGAGGCAGACCAGAAGCAGGGAACCCCGCCCAGACCAACCGACCCTCCTGGACCAGCCAGTTGCCTGCTTCCATCAACATGCCCCACGCGCTTGTCCCCAGCACTCCTCGTGGCCTCTGCCCTTGGGAGACATACCCATAATCCTCTTGGACTCTCGCCACTGATGGATGGATACTGAGTTCTGGTAATCCTCAGATTCCTCGACACCTGAGGGAGGTTACAGGAACATTCTGAGGAAGGGGCCAGCACTCTTCCCCTGAGGATGACCACTGTCAAGGAGGACAATCCCCTGGACAGCTCCTTCCCCTGTGAGGGGTCTCCTGTCAGGACTGGGTGAACTTGACCAAAAAGCACAAGAGACTTAGAATCTTGAGGACCTCACTTCTTTTTTTGTGTTTTGTTTTTGTTTTTGTTTTTTTGAGACAGGGTTTCTCTGTGTAGCCCTGGCTGTCCTGGAACTCACTCTGTAGACCAGGCTGGCCTTGAACTCAGAAATTTGCCTGCCTCTGCCTCCCAAGTGCTGGGATTAAAGGCGTGCGCCACCACTGCAGGACCTCACTTCTTATTCATTAGGGTGGGTCTAGCTCAGGGTGCCACCCCCTGCCCCACCTTTCGTGGGAGGGACAGCTTTACCTGACTCGGGGGTGCTGGGCTTGCAGATGAGCACATTCTCGTATGAGTTGGAATCATCCTCTGTGAATGAATACAGTGTGACAGAATAAGGAGCTGGCAGGAGACCTGCAGGTGGACCTTGTCTGCAAGCCCCCCGATGTCCCTTCCTCTGTAGGGCTTTCCTCCTGGGCCTCAAGGGGCTTCAGTATTCTCTTAGACCAGTTTAAAAAAAACATTTATCCATTTTATGTATATGAGTTTTATCTACATGTATATCTGCACACCGCACATGAAAGGATGGTATTGGATCCTATTATAGACAGCTGTGAGTTGCCATGTGGTGACTGGGAATTGAACTCATGACCTACGGAAGAGCAGTTGGTGCTCTTAACTGCTGAGCCATCTCTTCAGTCCCTTAGACCAGTTTGTTGTTGTTGCTGTTGTCGTTTTGTGTGTATGCTGACTGCAGGTGCGTGTGAGTGTGGGTGTGGGCGTGGATGTGGGTGTACAGGTTGAGACCAGAGGACAACATTGGGTGTTTTACCTCAGAGGCTATCTTGTTTGTTTGTTGTTGGGTTGTTTTGTTTGTTTTTCAAGACAGGGTTTCTCGGGGTAGCAACCCTAACGTTCCTGAAACTCGATTTGTAGACCAGGCTGGCCTCGAACTCACAGAGATCTGCCTGCCTCTGCCTCCCAGCAGGAGACCCGTTCTTATGAAACAAGAACAAAGGTCAGGTAAAGGCCCCTCATGGTGGAGGGGAGCACTGACCCCCACAAGTTGTCCTGAGGCTGCCACGTCGTGTGTGCCACACCCACAGAGTAAGTAAATATTTCTTTTTTCTTTTCTTTCTTTCTTTCTTTCTTTTTTTTTTCTTTTCTTTTTTTTTTTTTTTGGTTTTTCGAGACAGGGTCTCTCTGTGTAGCCCTGGCTGTCCTGGAACTCACTCTGTAGACCAGGCTGGCCTCGAACTCAGAAATCCGCCTGCCTCTGCCTCCCAAGTGCTGGGATTAAAGCCGTGCACCACCACCGCCAGGCAGTAAATATGTCTTAAAAGATGTTAAAAAAATAAATTAAGAGGGGAAGAGAGGGGGGTCCATCCAGATCCATCTACCATCTGCCATGAAAATAAACCCTTTTGGAACCATGGGAAAAAAAAAGAGGGAGGAGAAAGTGGACCCCTTCGAATGCGACCACTCCAGAGCCAGCTGAGGACCCAGGCGGAAGGCCCTGCTACTCTCGGCAGGCTCTGTCCCCTCCCTACACTCTGCTCTCCTCCGTAAACCGGAAGTGCTCCTGACCAAAGCCCCAGCTTATCTGTCACCAGGTGCCCATCTCTTCAGATGCTCCCACCCACAGCCCCGCCTCTGCTTCCTGTCCGGTCCCTCCACTCTGTCCCCATCCTCCGTGCCGCTGACTTCCGCCCCACCCACCTCGGCCTGTAGCAGGACTCCCTCCATATCTCAGCCGCTCTGCAGACCCATCTACAGGAGCGGCTGCCTCCTCTTCCACACCCTCCCCAGCCCGCCCGTCCCCGTCCGTCCTCCACCTTACCTTCTGGGGGCTTCTGGAAACGTCCCCAGTTGTAGTAGTCCGTGGAGATGGGATCTCTGGGGGGAAAAAAACCGGAGTGGAGTGCAGGTTGCTGGACAAATCTGTCAGGAGGGGACCTTCAGAAGAAGCCATGAGGGAGTATCTCCTCCAATCCACTACAGATGCTTCCCAGAGTCCCTGACTATTCTGGGACTAGAGGGCTGTCAGCCTGGGCCACAGTTTTCCCTATTTGTGACATGAGGAGACACTGCTAGGGGTCATTTCTTTTTTTAGGGGGGTGGTAGTTTTAAATCAGATCTTTCTGCCTCTACCTTCCAAGTGCTGGGATGGCAGACCTGTACCTCTACATACACCTCTCTCTCTAAACCTCTCTCTCTATATATAAATCTCTCCCTATCGTTCTCCATGTATGTATGTGCGTATGTATGTATGTATCATCTATATCTCTCTCCTTTTTCTCTTTATAAATTTACATTTTCTTATTCATTGTGTGCATGTATGTGCATGTTCACACATGCGCAAGGATGCCATAGCATGAGTGGATGTCAGAGGACAGCTCTTGGGAGTCGGTATCTCCATCAACCCTGTGAGTCCCCAGAGATGTCAGACTTTATGAGATGGGCTAGCGCTCTACCACTGTCTACATTATAGAAACAGTATCTCTGTATCTCAGGCTGACCTCAGACTCACTATCCAGACCAGGGTGACCTCGAACTCCTGATCTCCTCCCCAAGTGCTGGGATTCCTGGCATAAGCCTCCACACCAGGTTTGTACAGGGGTGGCAATGAACCCCAGGACTGTATACACGCTAGGCAGGCACTCTGAACCACAGCCCCAGCCTGTTTCTGGAGGGAGGGAGCCACATCTTGATATGTAGCCCACACTGGCTGTGATCCCTCTGCCTCAGCCTCCTGAGTGCTGAAATGACAGTAAGTGTCATCATGTCTGCTTTGTGACCTGCCGGTCACCAGATGACCATGATGGGTGCCCCCCCACAACCAGATACTCAGTTTTTCCATCAGAGCCACACAAGGCCAGGGTCACCAAATTAAAAAGGCTACCCAGAGGCGGTCTTCACTGAATGCCTCATAAAGAAGCTTGGGAGAGAGACTGGGAAATGGGGAAGGGTAGGCTCGGTCAAGGGCTACTCACACATAGGCAGCATCAAGCTCGTCTTTGCTTCCTGGAAGAGGCCAGAGAGAAGACTTAAGACAAGCTAAGCTCCTGGCTGTGGCCCATTCCCTCCCCCCAGAGCTACCCACCTTTGTAGAAGTTCTGGTACCTAGGGGACTCAGGACCTGGAAGAAAGGCTAGGCTAGGCTAGGTTGTCTTCCCTCCAGGTCCTGCCCCAACCCAACCCAGGTTCTGCAGCTCAAGCAAGGGCCTAGGGGCTTTGGATGGCCATACCTCTGCACACGTTCTGCCTTATCTATTAAAGCCAATTCCATCACCCCCCGGCCTCAGCTCCCCCTGGAAGGCCTTCCGGAGCCAGTACTTGTTCCGTTATCCCAGCTGCACTCAGTTCATTCCTGTCTGCTATCACTTACCCTCAAGGTAGGAGAAGAGTAGCTTGTTCTTCCTGCAAGAATGGAGCATGGACACTGAGATGGTACCTCAGGGAGGGGAAAGCCTCAACAGGCCAGCCCTGAGACTCTGCAGCTTGGGGACAGAGTGAGGTCTAGCCCTGGCTGCCAGGTGGGGTTCTCCAGGTCTGGGCCCATACACTACAGAATGCCTTCCTACCTTTCAAATGACTTGTCTGAAGCTGTGTCCATCAGGGGTCCTGGCCTCACCTGCCTGGCCACTTTGGAGGGAAGCAGGGACAGAGTATTGGCTAGGCACTCACCCAGCAGAGCCAGGCTTCCTGGTGTATCAGACTGGCCTCAGGGCAAAGGACACAGAAGGGACCTTGATATGGGAAGTCCCAGCCCGAAACCAAACCCAGGATGCTTCAAGAACTCACGGGAGTACGTCTGCTGAACCACAGCTAAGCCCTGTTCATTTTCTTGACTGCGAATACACAAGGGTGTGCTGAGCCAGACTCTGACATTCCTCAGGTAAGGATACAGAGAGAGGATGGGGGGACAGTGGTGGGTGGAGGGGGGGGGCCCGGCAGGTGAGGGGGCAGACAGGGACAAGGAACACAGAGAAGATGGAAGAGCTGAGCCCGGTGTCTGTCTGCACATTCCTGGGTTCCCAGCACTCATGGCAAGAATATCAGTGTGAGTTTGAGGCCAGCCTGGGCTACAAAGTAGGTTCTATGCTAGCTAATGCTAAGGACTAAGTAAGACCCTATCTCAAAATAAAAAAATTAAAAAACAAACAAGCAAGCTTTAGCCATGGCTTGGGGTGGTCAGAGATGGAAGATTTTGTTTTCAGACCTCACTGTGGTTTTTCAGTTGCAAAAGGAAATGAGGAAGGGTGTGTGTGGGGGGGTGATGGGGGTGACAGGGCCTATTTGGGTGTGCATGTGGGGGCTGCACTGAGAATGTGGAACCTGTACATGCATTTAGTAGAGAGGTGTAGAGAATGGTCAGCTGGCTTCCTTCCTCCCTCCCTCCTCCCTCCCTCCTTTCTCTCTTTTCTTTCTTTTCTTTTTTCCTGTTTTTTGACATATGGCCTTACTTTGTAGACCTGGCTGTCCTGGACCTTACTATGTAGACTAGGCTAGCTTGAACACAGAAATCCACATGCTTCTGCCTCCTGAGTGCTGAGATTAAAAGAATATGCCACCATGCCTGCCCCTTGCCTTTCCTTTTATGTTGGGCATTGAACTCACGACCCTGAGCAAGCACTACACACACCACTGAGCCACGCCCCCAGCCCCTCACTGGGGGATTCTAGGCACATGCTCTACGACTGAGTCATAGCCCCCCTCCCACTTTAAAATTATTTATTTTTAACGTGTATGGGTATTTTGCCCATGTACATGTTTGTCTACCACATGTATGTATGCCTGGTGCCTGAGGCAGTCAGAAGAGGCATTGGATCTCTGGATCTCTTAGAAGCTGAATTAAAGATTGTCATGGGTGCTGGAACTCAAATCCAGATTCTTTGGAAAAGCAGCCAGTGCTTTCAACCCCCGAGCCATCTCTCCAGCTCTGGTTTTTAATTTTTAAAAAAGTTTATTTGTATTTATTATTTACACTGTGTCATGGTACACTAGGCACATGGAGGCCAGAGAAAAATTTTTGCCAGTCTGATTACCATCTGTGGCTCCCAGGGGAATCAAACTCAGGTTATCAGACTTTGGTGCCAGTCACTCTTACTGGCCGAGCTATCTGGCAGCCTCCTATGTTTTAAGTTGTGAGGCAAGTTCTGATTGAATTGCCAGGCTGGCCTTGAACTCCCTCTGCAGCCCAGGCAGGTTCTGGAATATCTGTGGGAATGAGAGGTTCGCAGCCTCTCCTAAGTGTTTTTTTAGATTCTGCCTTCGCTCCGCCTGGAGTGCAGGTGTCTGTCCTCGCTACGGCTGCCCTGTGGTGCCACATTCCCTCAGATAGCTCCCGAACTCTTTCTTTCCCTCCACTGCATGCTAGGGATCCATTTAGAGCCTGCCATGGAGCAGGCATGAGTGAGGGCCAGGACTGGGTTTCCTGAGGGCTTCCCCCGCCCCAGGGTGCTCAACTATGGCAAGCTGGGGCAACTCACTGGTTCCTCTGCTCGTAGATTTTCTCATTTCTCTTCACCCCTGCAAGAACAGAAATGGCATAGCTAGTGTCCCTGAACTCAGGAGGTGTAGAGTGGGAGGGCTGAAGTCTGGGGCCCCCCTCTTTGTAACTCCACCAGGCCCTTGGCAAGTCCCTTCCAGCTGCCTGTCATTGAGGGGGTTCTTGTCAGCTGGGTGTGGTAGCACAGGCTTATGATCCCAGCGCTCAGGAAGCTGAGGCTAGAGGGCAGGAACATTTGAGGCTAGCCTGGGCTACAGTGTGAGATAGTCTGAAAGAGAAAGAATTACAAGGATGAAAAGAAAGAAGGAAGGAAGGAGGGAGAGAACGGAAAAAGGGTGCGGAGGGAGGGAGGGAGCGAGAGGACTGGATAAGGAGGCAGGAAGGAGGGAGGGAAAGGAAGGAAGGAAAGAAAGGAACTTAATCCCTTCTTGTTGGACGAGGATAACTTGAAATAGAGGGTGCCACAGGTAGCCCAGCTTCCCTCTCTCATCCTGGCCTGAGTGACCCCATGATCCAGCAGACCCAGCGTCTACCCACACCCACTGTCCTCAGGGCCATCTAGGGGCCACCAGCTGGTCCTTGGGTGCTCATCCTCCTAACCTGCCTATCACAGCCAGGTCCAGCCGCAGAGGCCTCTGGGACACACTCTTCACGGCCGGCCCTCCCATCATTTCCTGCCTGTGTGACACCTACCTGGGCGGGAGCAGTGGACACACAGCCAGGCTGTGGCCCCCAACAGCAGCAGCAATAGTCCCGACACCGGCCACAGCAGCTCTAGCTCGGCACTCATGTTGGCTTGGGGAGGGGTCTGTAAAACTGCATTGGAGATCTGTGAGTCAGTGGCTCCCTGGTGCCACCCCACCTGATGTGATCTGGTTTTGATCTCTCTGGTCCACGGCTCCGGCAACATTGATGGAATGGCCTTCCCTACTCCTGAATTGAACCAACCATGTCTCCCGTGTGACCCTAACCAGCACACCATCTACCAGACCAGTGTACTACATACACTAGTACTCTGAGAGCACTAGATAACACCAAGAAATTGTGTGGAATCCAAAGCACCCATTCCCAATCCATCTGGCCCTGAGAGACAGGCTCCTTAGTTCACAGGTGGAGAAACTGAGGCTGAGAAGTGCCCACAGCTGCTCTGTGGAAAGGGAGAGTTCAACATTCAGTCGTTTCCCCCCACCCCCAAGCATAGGGGCTTACACCTGCAATCCCAGCAACTGTGCAGGCTGCCACTATTTCCAGGCCAGCCTGAAACAACATAGTGAGTTTCAGGCTAGCCTGGGCTAAAGACTGAGACCCTGTGTCAAAAAACTGGAGAGACAGTTCAGCAGTTAAGAGTGCTTGGTGTTCTTCCAGAGGACCCCCGTTAGGCAGCTCAAAGCTCATGACCATGTGTACACACACACACACACACACACATTCACATTCTTCTACCCTACTCATACTGTTGCTGTATCATTCTGATGAACTCATCTTCAGTGGTGCTCCACTCTGTCCTCAGGAAGTGCTCCATTCTGCTCCCAGGAAGACCTAAATATTTTCTTTTCTCCAGCACCCAAGAACCCAGGTGGTGACACATGCCTTAATTTCCCACACTCAGGAGGCAGAGACAGGTGGTGCTCTGAGTTCAAGGCCAGGCTGGTCTACAGAGTAAGTTTCAGGACAGCCAGGGCTATACAGAGAAACCCTGTCTCAAACAAACAAACAAACAAAAATATAACAACAAAAGAACCAAGATTCTGCCTGTGGAGAGCTGGAAGTTGTGGTCAGTGAGGATTCTTCTCAGAGGATACAACCCTGAGAGGTATACACCAGGGACATGTCCCCAGCTGTAGGACAGGACTCGAGGAACTTCAGAGCGAGGCTGGTCTTTGGGAGATAAAGAGGTGGACCCGTGGAGAGGGACCATGTCCAAGGCAGCAGTTGTCCTAGCCTTAGGGAAGCCCCACAGTCTGGTGAATGAGTGGAGGTACAGCTCTCTCTAATGGGCTTATAAAACCGACTATTGCAGCTACAAGAAGACTCGACGCCCTAGCATGGGCAAGGGAAACAGATGAGGAAAACAGTCTGTGCAATAAGGCACATTTGGAATGTGAATGACTAAATGGCTACTCTGTCTACACTTGGTCCTGCCTCAAGCTAGAGAAGTTGTGGCTAAGCTGTAGAGCCTTGCCTAGAATCCCCCAGTGAGGGGCTGGGGGCGTGGCTCAGTGGTAGAGCCCCTGCCTAGAATCCCTCAGTGAGGGGCTGGGGGCATGGCTCAGTGGTAGAGCCCCTGCCTAGAATCCCTCAGTGAGGGGCTGGGGGTGTGGCTCAGTGGTAGAGCCCCTGCCTAGAATCCCACAGGGAGGGGCTGGGGGCGTGGCCTTTACTTAGGACATTGACTGTCTATCAAAGAAACTCATAAACTGAGCACATGGCACGTTCCTGTAACACCAGCACAGAGATCCTCAACTTATGGATCGCGACCCCTCTGGAGGTCAACAGGGGTCTGATGTCCTGCATGTCAGATATTTGTGACAATTCATAACAGTAGCAAAATTACAGTTATGAAGTAGAGACGGAAATAACGTTGTGGTATGAGGAACTGTAGTAAAGGGTCACAGCGTTAGGAAGGCTGAGAACCACTGCTCTAGGACTTCAAGGAACAGAGCCAGGAGGGCTGGGAGACCAAGGCTAGTTCTGGCTACAAAGCACAACCCCATCTATGTCTGTCTGTTTGTCTGTCTATCTATCTATCTATCTATCTATCTATCTATCTATCTATCTATCTATCATCTGTCTATCTATCTATCTATCTATCTATCTATCTATCTATCATCTGTCTATCTATCTATTCTTTAAGGGAGAGAAGGATGGAGAGGAGGAAGGGGAAATGTGAGCGAGTGATTGAGATGGCGGGAAAAGGAGGAGAATCAGTTCACGCTGTCTCGCTCCTGTGCACCTGCAATCCCAGCTCGTGTGAGGCAGAGGCAGATCAGGAGTTCGAGACCCTCTGTCTCGATGGGGAACAAGAGCAGGAGGAGACTTGGGCATAACACATGTAGGAACAGGCTACATATAACTCAGTTCTTGCCCGCCTCATCCCACGTATGACTGCAGGAGCCGGCCTGCTGAGTTCTAGTTCCTCTCTACTGGCACCCCACGCCTTTGGAAGGAGGACCATTCTCCATCCAAGCAGCCTGGGCTACCAGAGTCCACTTGCTACTAGGCCAGTTGTCTGGGGATAAGCAGGACTCCAGAAGCCCTCAGACCCGGGACGGAGCTGGTCAGGGCATCTAAACCCTCTAACTGGCCACGCAGGGGAGTTTGTCTTGAGGCCTGTCATGGAGAACATGAATGTAGCGTGGAGTCAGCCGTGTGGGTTGCTTCCATGACTCTTACTGTAGTCACGGTTCTTAGTCATGTGACATGGGAAGGGACTGTCAGCAGCCTGCAGCAAAGACTGAGGGGATATATTATCCTGCCTCAAAACATAGAGAGGCCTGGGGGCATACTAGGACGTTTGCTTAGAATCTCCCAGATGGACTAGGGTGTGGCTTAGTGGTAGAGCAACTGCCTAGCGTCTATCAATATTTGGCTGTGGACGTGACTCAAAAGTAGAATACCTGCCTGCCTAGAACCACTCAGTGAGGGATATTCCCATGTTTACCTAGCAAGGGTGAGGCATGGATTCCATTCTCAGCCTGAGGAGAGGGGAAGCTGGGGAAGGGGATGCTGGAGAGATGACTCAGAAGTCAAAAGCAGGCACTGCTCTCCCAGAGGACCTAGGTTTGATTCTCAACACTCATAACTATCTATAACGGCAGTTCCAGGGGACCCAACCCTCTCCCAGTCTTTGTGCACCAGGCATGAATGTGGTACACGGACGTACATGTAAGCAAAACACTCATACACATGCATTGTGCATTTGAGACAGGGTTTCTCTGTGTACCCCCCTGGTGGGTCTGAAACTCACTCTGTAGACCAGGCTGGCCTGGAATTCACAGAGACTGGCCAGTGTCAGCCTCGCAGATGCTGGGATTATAGCCCTGTACCATCATGTCCCAACTTACATAAATACTTTAAATTAAAAAAAAAAGTTGCTGGAGGAGAGAGGGAGGGAGACACACACACACACAGAGAGAGAGAGAGAGAGAGAGAGAGAGAGAGAGAGAGAGAGAGAGAGAGAGAGAGAAGACAGAGACAAACAGAAAGACAGAGACAGAGACAAAGAGAGACACAGAGAGAGAGAGAGACAGAGATACCTTCCTCAATGGTAAGATGCCTGTGTTCCTGTAGGTAACCCCTCAGTCACATCCTGTAAGCAAACCTAATGAAACTCATTGGGCCACCACCCTACCCCACCTCCACTGAGAAAAGAACATGAAATCAGAAGGGGATCAGTTGGGGAGAGGGCAGGGACCAGTGGGAATTGGGGAGGACAAGAGAGAGAATCTGGGGGTGGATATGATCAAGATGGCATGTTGTATGGAAATGTCACAAGCCTATTAGTATGCATAATTAATACAAACTAATAAAAAAGCCCGAATTGGGGGGGGGCTGGTGAGATAGCTTGCAGGTAAAAGGCGCTTGCCTCCAAGTCTGATGATCTGAGTTCGATCCCCAAGAGGACCCACATGGCGGTTAAAAGTAACTCTTGCAAGTTATTTTCTGACCTACACTATGTCACACCACACATCCATCCACACACAGGGTAATTTTAAAAAAGAGCAAGTGCGAGTGCATGGGGTGCTTCCTGGACAGGGTCTGGTGCTTGCTTCTCAGTTGGGGATCCCTCTGAGCCCAACTGTTTTCTTCCCAGGGAGCAAATGGAGGTTCAAAGAGACCCATGCTGTGTCACAAAGAAACACTGGAAAAGATGGAAACCCCTCGCAGGCCCTGTGGATTCCCTCCATCCCATCTGATGCTCTCTACCCTGAAGGACAGCAGGCAGGTTGAGGGGAAGAGGCTGGGGCTGCAGGAGGGGCAGCCCAGCAGTCTCAGAAGGCCCCAAGGGGCCAGGCAGGGCTAGCTGTGGGTGTGTGGGGGACCGCCACAGCTCTGTGGCTCTGTGGGTCAAAATAGCTCAAAGGGAAGTGGGCAGTTTTCATATGAACAAGGCTTGCTTCTGAGGGCTGCATCTGAGCTTCTAACCTCAATGGCCCTTAGTGAGTGATTGCTGCAGTGCTCATCCTTCAGAGAACAGAGACCCGAGGGTCTGCTTGGATGAGGCAGGTGACCCATCTCTCACCTGGGATGGTTTTATTCATGGGGTGCTACTCTGAGGCCTGTGGTCTTAGCTGAATAACATTTCTGTGGTTTGATCCCTTGAGGATCAATGGTACTCACAATGGAGTACCCCCTGGCCTTGAACTCCCGATCACCCCCCCCCACACACACACACACTTCAGCATTCTTAATGCCATGATTACAGGAGTGTACAATACCCAGCCTGACCAAATAACTTGGGGCTTCAAATGAGGTAGAGAGAAGGACTCTGAAGAAACCTACTGGAGGCCAGTGGGCCAGGAAGACCGTTCATGTACATATATAAGTATGCCTGTGTAGAGAAGCCTGGCAGGCCCTGTTCCTGGCCAACCTGGGCCACCCGTTCAGAGCCAGAACCAAGAAGCCCACCAGTCTTACAAGGGTTATCCATCAGAAGGTACAAGCTGGCTCAGGCCTGGGTGGACTTCTGAGGATAGCAACTTCCTCCTGGCTGGGACAGGGGCTGGGCACAGTTCCCCAAAGCAGCCCAGGTCCTTCCACAGACCTGTGGTGTTAGCCAACCCTCCACAGATGGGAGAACTTCACATCTCTGGCTTTTGGCTGGTCCTCCCTGGTCATTGGTAGTGACAGAACCACCCTAGGGGCTTCTTGGGGTGGGGTCTCAGAGGCTAGGGGGTTTGGGAAGCCAATGATAGATAAGCAGGTACCTGGAGCCCCTGAGACAGGCTTTCCTTGAGGGCCACAGGGCCAGGCCAGGAGGTATCAGGTGTCTTGGCTTCCACTCAGTCCATTGCTAAGGGCCTTGTGGGGGTGTAGCACAAGGAACACCTGCTCAGCTGAGCACCCCTGGGAAACTTACCTGAGAGTGAGGGCTCCTCACCATGGCCACTTCATCCTGTGTCCGCACACCTGCCCAAGCTGACGCCAACACCACAGACTCTGGCAAGCAGCGGGCAAGGCAGTTGGCTTCCTGTCACTACTGAATCATCCCTCTACATCCGCCTCGGCCAGACTACTAGGGTGGTTAATGACAAAGTGGGTGGGGCAGAGGCAGAAAAAGATACAGAGATACCAAGCGAAGGGCTGGGCACCGTGGTGCATGCCGTTAAATGACTGCACTTGGGAAGCAGAAGCAGGCAGATCTCTGAGTCTGAGGCCAGTCTGGTCTAGATAGTCAGTTCCAGCCAGGACAACTACACAGTGAGACCCTGTCTCTAAATAAATAAATAAATAAATAAATAAATAAATAAATAAATAAATATTCACTGGGTAATGGCACTTTCCACCGAGCTGGACAACTTGAGTGCTATCACCAGGAACCACGAGGTAAGAGATAACTGATGGCGGCTAGTTGTCCTCTAATGAACAAGATTGTATCGTGTTTGTGTGCACGCACACATGCACAGACACATGTATGCGCGCACACCCGTGGGGGTGGAGAGGCGATAAAAAAGAAAACAGAAACAGACACAGGAGAAATGGGAAGTGAGAGATAGGCTCAGAAAGACGGAAAGCCCAGCACACACACCCAGCACATGCCCAGCACAGAGCCAGGTCTCGCAGATCATGGAGAAGGGAGGCGTACAGTGAGTGGCAGGGAAGAGAGACAACTCCGGAGTTCACATAGACACACAGTCATGGAGAGGACAGATGGAAAGTTCAGAGGGACATATACAGACTTGCACGCACGTGTACCACAGTCAGACACAAGAGGTAGGGAGACACACAGACGCACTGGTCAGGAGAGGATCAGAAAGAGCCAGATATGTAGACACTGACAACCACACACAAGAGGAAGCTAGTCCTTCCAGCATCCACAGGCATCTGAGAGTGGGGATCAGAGACAGAGACTAGAACAGTAGAATCTCAAAGAACAAATACTAATGGGCAGAGAGAAGAGATGGGGGACAGAGGAGACAGGGAGGAAGATGGGCACAAAGATGTCACATGGAACAAAGGACCTCTGTGCCAGAGACAGCTGGATAGACAAGCTGCCTCTCTGTGTGTGTTTGTGGGTGGTGGTGGGTAAATTTAGAGGCCAGAAGTCAGTCTTGGTGTCTTCCACCTTTTTTTGTTTTTTGAGATAAGAGTTTCTGTGTGTCCCTGGCTGTCTTGAGACTCACTCTGTAGACCAGGCTGGCCTTGAACTTTGAGATCTATGCTGACTCTGTGTCATCTACTTTTCAAAAACAAAACTACTGCCTGCCTTTATTACTTTGGAGTTTTTGTATGTGTGTGTGGGCATATATGTCACAGAGCAATGTGGAAGTCTGAAAATAACCTGGAGCTGGTTCTTCTTCCACCATGTGGGTCCCAGGGATGGAACTCAGATTGTCTGTCTTGGTGGAAAGCACCTCTACCCACTGAGCCATCTTGCCACCTCATGGTTTTAATTTTTCTGTATTTGTTTTGGGTCTTACTATGTAGTCCTGACTGGCCTGGAAACTCAAGAGATCCATTTGCTTCTTCCCAAGTGTTGGGACTGTACCTAACTTCCACCTTCATTGTTCCCTTTCACTGGCCGGAGATTCACACGTCCCCATGTCCCCATAGCTTCACTATGAGTGCTGGGGATCCAAGCTCAGGGTCCTCAGGCTTTTGAGAGCTTTAGTAACTGAGCCGCCCCTCCCCAACACACACCTCAGCCAAAGCTACTTCTCAGTTGGGATTATCCTTGCCTGAGACTCAGGGAGGCTCCCGGTAGGAGCAGGAACATCAGGTGGCACCACTGCCCCAAGTGACAAGGACCAACCACCTTGCTCAGTGCATCCTGAAACTTGGGAAAAGGTCAACACACACATTCTACCTGCTGGGGACATCAAGCAGGAGGCAAGGTGATCCTACCATGCAATCTGCCGTGTGTGTGTGTAGTGTTGTTATACCCCTGGGCTCCAATAGCCTGGGTGGTTCTTCCCAGTCTTTGTGCCCCGAGTCTGCTGCTGCCACCCAGTGGTGAAGCAAAGCAGCACAGGCATCAGAACTATTACCAGGAGACTCAGTGACCATGGAAGCCTTAGAAATCTGTGCCAGCCAAAGGTAGTACCTGATGCTTTCAGCTCCTAAGACTGTTTCTTTTCCATGGGGGTCAGGTGGGGTTGGCAGAAACTCCCTAGAGGCAAAGCTAGTGCTCATGGCTGGCCTCCTTCCCACACTTTCATTGCAATTCGGCATTTGCTGACCTAGCTGTACAGAGCACTTCATCCAGTTCTGGGGAGGTGTTCAGTTCATCTCGGATCCCTGGCATAGACACTTGTAACCTCAGTTCTATGCCCTCTTCTGACCTCCTTTCTAGAACCCCCCCCCCCAAACACACACACACACACATCAGCACTAGGACTGGAACTGGCTGTGGATGTTGCTCAGTAGGTGCTTAGGTTCCATCTCCAACACAGCACAGCTAGATGTGGGGACACACCCCTATAGCGCTCTCATTTTTCATTTTTAGGCTGCCTCTCGGCTGTGTAGTCCAGGATGGGCCTTGAACTTGCAACCCTTCTGTCTCAGTTCCTGGAATAGCTAGAACTTTCTGAAGTACTCTGAATGTCTTGCAAGCATGTATGTCTGTGCAACGCTTGTGTGCCTGGTTCTTGGAGGGCATCAGACCCCCAGAACTGAATGAGGTTACACTGCTGTGAGCTACTGGCCGCAGGAAGGTCAGCAAATGCTTGTAACAGATAAGCCAGATCTCAAGCCTCAAACCATGGCTTTTTCTGAGCCAGGATTTCTGTGTAGCCCTGGCTGGTCTTGTTCCCAGAGCTCTGGCTGACTCTGCCTCCTGAGTGCTGGGATTAAAAGTGTGTACCTCCATGCAGAGCTTTTAGTGAATTCATTCTTAATTTCAGTAGTATAATATGAGACCTCTACCAATCCCAAGAGCCTTTGGTGTTCTGGGGATCTGACCTTCTCCTTCTGACTCCTTCCAGAGGGACAAGCTGGGATAGCCACTGCTCTGCTAACCACTTACTGCATCTCCCAGGGAATCCAGACTAACTAGGGTCCAACAGAATACCACAGCTATCTATCACAGCAAGCATCTGCCTTTGAGTTATCTGATGTTTGAGAGCCAAGGATGCAGCAAATTTAGATTTAGCAAGGACTCAGTTGGCTGGAGTTTTAAAAAAAAAACCTTTATTTTCCTTGTGAGAAACTTGTGAAAGTCCATTTCTTTCTGGGGATTGAACTCAGGCTGTCAGGCATGCAGCAAGTGTCCTTACCTAAGCCATCTCACTGTTCTGTCTTCAATTTCGTGGGTCACCTTCATGAAACAGCTGCTGCTCTTGAAGACGATCCGGGGTTCAAATCCTAGTACCCACAACCAGCTGTTAACTCCAACTCTGGGAGATGAAATGGCTTCTTCTGAGTACTCCACGGGCAAAGCACACACATGGTGCATATACGCTTATCGGACAGTAAGCTCAAGTACACGAGGTCTTAGGGTCAGAGACGGCTCAACAAAGTAGAGCACTGGCTGCTCTTGCAGAGGACTTGGGTTTGATCCCAAGCACATCACAACTCTTGACTCCAGCTCCTTCCTTCAGCCTTTGCTAGCCCCGAGTGCATGTGGTGTGCGTTCATATGTGTACACACACACACGAAACACACAAAGTCAGCTCTAGGATACCCAACATCTTCTAGCCACCATGGGCATCCACATAACACAAAGAAAAATCCTGCCCCAAAGTCACCAATTCTCAGACTCTGGAGACACAATCTAGCTTAACAGAATGAATCTCGAAGAACATTTCAGGATGCAGTTTTCTGTGAAGTCAGTCTTAAGAACACCACAGAGGTTGGCATGTGGCCGAGTTATAGTGTTTTCATGTTTCTGTTCAATCTCCAGGACCAAACAAGACAAAACAAAAAATAAAATCCCACAAAAGGAGAGAAACCAGGAACCAATTGTCTGAACTTCTCTCCATCATCGATGTGCATAGTCTGAACATGGAAAAAGATCCTTTCCATTTGGCCATTCTGCTAGGGCCACAGAGGTAGTAAACTAACAGTAAGCCTCTACTGCATTTTAGAGGGGTGGTACCACTATGTAGGCCACACTAGTCTTGAACTCGAGAGCTCTGCCTGTTTGCCTCCTGTGTGTTGGGACTGAAGGTGTGCCGTATGCCCAGCACACAACCATGTTACATATAAGGGTGCTCTACCTGCACTCACAGGCACGGATGAGGGTACTAGCCCTCCTGGACAGGAGCTACAGATGCTTGTGAGCTGCACGTGGGTGCTGGGAATCGAATCCGGGTTCTCTGGTACCCTCAACTACTGAACTACCCTTAGCCCCTCAAAGGCCCTCTTACCAGAGCTCAGACATCTAGCTAGACTGGCTGTAGACCTTCTGTCTCCATCGATCTCCCAGGTGCTGGGATTATGGGTATGCACCATGTTTTCCATGGATGCTGGAGGTGCTCCCGCAGTAGACACTGGTCCTGTAAGTGCTGAGATAACTAGCCAAGCTCCACTTTCTTCTTTAGAGGTTCCAAGAATCAACTTCTGCAAACTAGGCCGTGTAACACACCAGAGTACAACCCACTGGCATAGTGTTCGCATAGCAGGACCATGGTCTGACCATCTGAATGGTCAACATGCCACCGAAACTACTTCTAAATGCTTCTCAGCAGCACTCCCAAAGTTCAAAACACAACTTCACAAGTGGCCAGAAAGACAAGCAGTAAGTGTTATGTAAGGTTCTCTTTTATTTAAAAGATCATTCACAAAATACCATATCCATAGACTCACTTTCTGTCATAGAACTGAATGTGTTAAGTGTTTGGAATTCCATTCTTACAGAGTCAGCTGGGCGCCCAGCAGTGTGGATGGACGTGCCTGTTCTGTCTTTTCCGCATTGGAGATGGATTAGATCGTCTGACAGCATCAGCTCTGATTACAACCACGCAATGCATGTCTGTCTTAAGTTAGGTATTGGTGTTACACAAATGGTTCTTATCTCAGAAGCAGAGAAGATGGCAGGCGAGGGAAGGAG